GAGAGAGAGAGAGCACTTATTAATGTATACCTCCCTACCAATCATAATTTTTAGTATATTGTTAAGAAAAAAAATGTACATTTTATTTTGGGGTTGCTTTAAATGGCAAAAGACCCGGCTTTTGAAGACAGGCAATATGGTAATCTGGAATTTCAACTAGCAACTGTTAGGATTATTGTTATCACTATTCACTAACATTAATTTTAAATTTAAATGATAAAAAAGTGTAAGTTTGTTGTACCGGAGAAGAAACTGGCCACCTCTTCCTGTGTGCAATTCCAGGGAAGTCCTCTGATCCGGACCACATAATCTTCTTCATTTGATGACATCCTTTCTGCCACMAGAAAGCACAAGAAAAGCAGAAAATACAATAATATAATTCTCCATACACCCTGACACAGACTGCCTCACTCATGCCAGAGTTAATTAAAACGGTCAAAAAATATTCTGGTCAATATGGCTCCCCACTTATATCTGGGGGTGGGGATCAGTGTTAACAGAATTATTTTTGTATTATCTTTTAATTTGATATTCTCCCGACCCTTACATTTTAACATTTATTAAGTTGTTGTTTAGCTTTGACGCAAAATAAATTATCCTGACACAAACAATTATTTATATACAAAACATAAATGACGGCAAGCAGTGTTTATTGCTGCAGAAACAATTGTCACAGACACATGCTGTGTTTAAACGAAAGTATTACTCCAGAAAACAATTTAATTTGAGCAGCTATCAACGGTTCAGATGAGCTGTATCAGTATCGAGTGTTGTTCGTAAGCTAACGAAACCGCAGATAACCTTTAAACTCCAAACATAATTCCAAACCATGCCTTTAAAATAGGTTATCTATTTGTTAATACACACAAATAAGAACATTTGTCAACCTCGATCTTGACTTACGATATTATTTTAGCAAAATAATTTCTACTGTTTTTCTTCAGTCAAAATGTTAGCTCTACAGCATTAGCACAGTTAGCGTAGCAGGCCACAGACACAGCGGTCAAACGTACAAAACAAACTAATTCGCAAGCTAACGATCCAGCTTCGTAACACATTATCAAAACACACTGCCACGCAGAAACATGTTATTCATTATTAAAACGCAAGGGGGAGGATTAAAAACATTATTTTACATGTAGTAGCTTCTTTATCCCAGTCTGCTCCTTCTCCAGCGTCTCAGGTCGGGTTACAGTCAGGAAACAAAACGCGCTCAKGTTAACTCTCGCGAGATTTCACGAGAAGATGCGTGAAGCAAAAACGCAGCATGTCTTTTTTTTTTTTTTGTGAAATATAATAACCAATACAGACATTAGATCACATCAAAGCAAAAACAAACAAATAAATGAACGAAACARTATTCTAATCTTGCAAATATTTATGTTGTGAAACAATGCATTTTAAAAAATATGGCATAACATACACTGTTTTTGTGTAAATCTATTYACAGTGCTGTATATAAATGTTTTTAATCATCCCCCCCCCCCCAACTTTTTCCTTAATGAGACTGACTTTTTGCATTTTTAAGTGGTCATTGTTAATATTTTTCAGACATTCTGGAAGTTTTTTCAGGTTTTTGTCCTGACTCCTCTCCTTTCTCAGTTTTACACATTGCAGTGTACTGTTGAGGTGAAGATCACAACTGAGTGGGCGTGGGGGGCGGCACTAACGTTCAAGATTAGATTAACAGATTAGAATAATGTTTGCTCCTTATATGTAACCTTCTGCCATAAAATATATGTAACACTGGCCTGCTAWAACTTTTGATCATCCGTAACGACCTGGCAGATTTATGAATTATATGCGCCAACGGCCTGCCATATTTTAAACTGCAAAAAACGACCTGCCATGTTGACATTGGGGGTTTAATTAAAACATTGGCACGGTCTCATTTACTCTAACTACAGTTTCTTATTATTAGATGACCTTTTTCATTGAAAACTTTATAACTGCCCAATCAGCGTGTCATAAACAAACAGATCGCACTCAGCACTTTTTGTCTGAACTGAACTCAGAGAAAAATAAGGAGGCGGGGGAGGAGGAGGAGGTAGGGGGTTGAAAGTTCACTGTCACAAGACTTGACCCACTTCCACACCACGTTGCACACGCCTTTAGCTCGAGCCTAAAAAACAATGGAGATTCCTGTGTTTACATTGGATTCCTTCACAAATTTACCCTTCAAAGGAAATCCTGCGGCTGTCTGTCCACTAGTGCACGTGAGTAACATTTGATTACAGTGGGCTGTGCGTGAACAAAGGAGCCCCTCACAATGAATAAAGCTTGCCTTAAAAAAGAAGCTTGAACTCATAGTAAAAAAACAAAAACAAATTGTTTTATAGATTACACAACCAGCTGTTTGGAATTAAAACAAAGGTATGAGATTTTAACGCGTTAATTAGACTACGATTAATTAATTACAGGAARAAAAAAAACAATAATAGTTAATCGCATTTTCTGCACTTGGTGCAGTGTTGCAGCTTTGTCAAACAGCCTGCGCGCAGTTTGTTTATCAGAGTTAAGGTTTTCGCAATAAAGAAACAAAGGAGCGCTCGGTTCTTTCTTTGTTGTGCAGGATATTAAAAACATCCAGGTGGTAACACCGTGGAGAAGAACGTCGCGTGTAAATTGTGTCAGAAGGAATTTATTCCACAGCTTTTTATTGTAAGAGCAAGAAAATAACACGACGACCTCCAAATTTTCTTCCCGCTTTTTGTTGGGGGGCCCCTGCTGGCAACACACACGCGTTGTTCTATCCTCATGGGGACTTTGCATTGACKTCTTTTAATTTACTGGTGGTCATTTATAATCCTGACCCCTTAAACTAACCTCGGTACAAACCTGACCTAACCCTAACCCAAGGGCTACCCATGGTTGTTTATTTTATCCCCATAATGAACAGTGGGTCAAAAATCCACGCTGTCCAGTTTCTTTATTCCACTCAAGAACCACGGAGCACCGTGAAAACTATAAAATAAATGCAATTTTTAATATTACTATAATAAAATATATTTAATATTTTTAAATGCATTTTTAATCGTAAACTTCCATTTTTATCACAGTATGATTCATACAAAGTTGTAACTTTTACATTTATTAACATTACCATGTTCGCCAGTTATGTTGCATACTTACATAAAAATCTGTGCTTTTTGTGTTTAACGTGTCTTTTTGATAAACATGCAATCAATCGAGATTCATTAATTACAGGCGTAATATTTAAATAATTTTAACTTTTTAAMCATGTATATGTCAGTCCTTTAACTTTCATAGGATGTGGTTAAATATTGAAAGCAGAAAAGTTCAAACATGTAAAAGGTGTCACACAGTCAGAGCGTTTGCTGTAAAAAAAAGATGGCAGCTCCATGAACGTGTGTTATTTCTAACAGGAGTTGAATGATGATCTGTACCAGAAGATAGCAGCAGAGATGAACCTGTCAGAAACAGCTTTCATCACCACGATCAACCCATCAGACACGTTCACAACTGGTAACGATAATTTAATCCACCACACTCAGGTGTTTGCTAAATCAAGGATTTAAACAATGCACATTTAGTGTTTATAAAGCAATTCATAAGAGTGATTCAATGTTTCTATTTCACACCATGTGACAAACCTACAATTTCTACAAAAAACATGGATTTTATTAGATAAAAAAAAGGAGCAGTTTCAATGACAGAATATTTGTAGGTTAAATCATTAGACTCTAAGGATTAAATGTGAGGTTTGTTAGTGTAACTAAATGAAGTGTTTTAGACACCTGAAACATCTGCTTTAACCAAACCAAAGGTGGTTTAATCATTTATTTTATTACCCACCAATAAAACGTATCTTACATGTAATAAGAGAATAAAGCTGTAACAGTTAAATATAAAGCTAAAAAATGTAAACGAAACCACAAAGTACCAAAATAAATAAATAAATAAGACAGTCAAGTGCATCACGTTTAGGTGCAGACATTTTTCACCACTGACAAAAATATGGTCTTAGAGGCAACATTACTGAGTTACAGTTACATCATCTGCTCATTAGTCTTAATGACACATTGGTGTGCTGAATTGTTCTTTATGCAACATAGAAACAACTTTGCATTATGTGAAAATGAGTATAATATTAAGACTTAGATCACAGTAAACAGATAAACAATGTTTGCAAATATTCTAATTCATATCCAGTTTTTACAACTGCAAATTTAATCATGTTTTAGAGACTGACAAAATGCTTACAAATCACAACAAATCAGTTGTGTAGGTGAAAAACATTTTTTATTGTTGTCCAAACATTTTGGAGTTTTTGCAGCTGAGAATACTTTAACTTAATTTGCCTTTTCAGTGTTTAAAACAATTTTAAAGCAGTGGTTCTCACTTATTTTCTGTCATGTCTCCTCTTAGGGATCTTAATGTTCCACACACCTCCTGAACTGAAGTACAATTAAGAACCAGATGATACTTAATTATTTATTAAACCACTGCAGGACTTTCTGGCACCAGCATTTTGCATACAGGTGCTGGTCATAAAATTAGAATATCATGAAAAAGTAGATTTATTTCAGTAATTCCATTTAAAAAGTGAAACTTGTATATTATATTCATACATTACATACAAACTCATATATTTCAAATGTTTATTTCGTTTAATTTTGATGATTACGAATGACAACAAATGAAAATCTCAAATTCAGCATATCAGAAAATTAGAATCTTGTGAAAAGGTTCAAAATGGATGGCACCTGGTACCACACTCTAATCAGCTAATTAACTCAAACCCCCTGCAAAGGCCTTTAAATGGTCTTTCAGTCTAGTTCTATAGGCTACACAATCATGGGGAAGACTGCTGACTTGACAGTTGTCCAAAAGACGACCATCGACACYTTGCACAAGGAGGGCAAGACACAAAAGGTCATCGTTAAAGAGGCTGGCTGTTCACAGAGCTCTGTGTCCAAGCACATTAATAGAGAGGCGAAGGGAAGGAAAAGATGTGGTCGAAAAAAATGTACAAGCAAGAGAGATAACCGCACCCTGGAGAGGATTGTGAAACAAAACCCATTCAAAAATGTGGGGGAGATTCACAAAGAGTGGAATGCAGCTGGAGTGAGTGCTTCAAGAACCACCACACACAGACGTATGAAAGACATGGGTTTCTGCTGTCGCATTCCTTGTGTCAAGCCACTCTTGAACCACAGACAGCGTCAGAAGCGTCTTGCCTGGGCTACAGAGAAACAGGACTGGACTGCTGGTGAGTGGTCCAAAGTCATGTTCTCTGATGAAAGTAAATTTTGCATTTCCTTTGGAAATCAAGGTCCCAGAGTCTGGAGGAAAAGAAGAGAGGCACTTCATCCACGTTGCTTGAAGTCCAGTGTAAAGTTTCCACAGTCAGTGATGGTTTGGGGTGCCATGTCATCTGCTGGTGTTGGTCCATTGTGTTTTCTGAGGTCCAGGGTCAACGCAGCCACATACCAGGAAGTTTTAGAGCACTTCATGTTTCCTGCTGCTGACCAACTTTTTGGAGATGCAGATTTCATTTTCCAACAGGACTTGGCACCTGCACACAGTGCCAAAGCTACCAGTACCTGGTTGAAGGACCATGGTATCCCTGTTCTTAATTGGCCAGCAAACTCTCCTGACCTTAACCCCATAGAAAATCTATGGGGTATTGTGAAGAAGAAGATGCAATACACCAGACCCAACAATTCAGAAGAGCTAAAAGCCACTATTAGAGCAACCTGGGCTATCATAACACCTGAGCAGTGCCACAGACTGATCGACTCCATGCCACGCCGCATTGCTGCAGTAATACAGGCCAAAGGAGCCCCAACTAAATACTGAGTGCTGTACATGCTCATACTTTTCATGTTCATACTTTTCAGTTGGCCAACATTTMTATAAATCCTTTGTTTTTATTGGTCTTCAGTAADATTCTAATTTTCTGATATGCTGAATTTGAGATTTTCATTTGTTRTCATTTGTAATCATCAAAATTAAACGAAATAAACATTTGAAATATATGAGTTTGTATGTAATGTATGAATATAATATACAAGTTTCACTTTTTAAATGGAATTACTGAAATAAATCTACTTTTTCATGATATTCTAATTTTATGACCAGCACCTGTATAATCACCTGATGATGGTAGAGGGAGCACTGCAATAAATAAAATAAGTATTATCTTTTAAATTTGTTTGTTTTGCAGCACTGAATCATTAATTTAAAAGTTTATTTTGATTTAAAATGTATTATAATAAAAGATACACAGATCCTGATTTCTGTAGTGCTCCTTCAAGGCTAATGAGTTCCTAAACTCAGTGAGGTTTTGCTACAGCTAACTATTTATTGCACTTTTTAAAAGGTACCCTCTTTTTCCAATGCTGATTCATAAATATTGTATGTTGAAAGAAAAAAAATGATGTAATTAACAGGTTCGAGGTTTCGCCTCAGATGGTTCACGCCAACAACTGAAGTGAATTTGTGCGGTCACGCCACTCTGGCCTCTGCAGCAGTGCTGTTCCAGTATAAAAGTAAGACTCAAATACTGAGGAGGCTGTATAAATGTCTGCAACCATTATTGTGTCTAGAAGCAGTAAAATTACCACTCTAAAGAAACAAGATGTATTATTACTGAAATTTAAAACAGATGAAGAATTCGTCGTGAATTTGTTTTTAACATGTGTTTATCATGTGTTCTCCATCAGAGAACGTTAATCCAAGGTTGGTGTTTGAGACCAAGAGTGGAGACCTGACGGTTACCCAGAAAAAGGATGGRTACATCATGGACTTCCCTCTGAATCCTCCCACCCAGCAGGTACAGATCAAACCAGAAACACAGCAGGGGAAAAAAAAAGATGCAAAAACACTCTTTATTTTATCTTGAAGTATGGTTGAGTTTAAAGAATTTGACGCTTTTTTTCTGCCATTTAAAACTGTAGTTGAAATATCACCATTTGTGCAGRTTCCAAGGAGTAGGCTATGTGCTAAATTAGAATTGGAAACCTAAAATAAATGTAAATTCTATTATAATGAGGTGACTCTACTTTTGGGAGGCTCAGATCACTTCTGCAACGTGATGCTTCAGATCTTCCAGAGGACAGGATCGTGGATGACCTCACTCCACGAAACTGTAGACCATCTGAAGATGATGCCAACCTCACTGTTCCATCTATATCTGCCTCCTGACATGGTTTCTGTAGGACGTACCTGCACACCCACGTTGATCAGCTGGAGTTTATTCTATCAAATTTTAACTGCAGGTTCTTGAAAGTCTGACACCGTTTTGGTTTTGCACCTTCACATTACGCCGTGTAATGTTTGCACCCATTTCTTTTGTTTTTGTGCACCTGTTTTTGAACTAGTTGTGTAGTCTTTTATTTTTCACCTCTTTTTGCATTTCCTGCTGCTGTGACAAACTAATTTCTGAGGATTATTAAAGTTAGTCTATCTAAAACTAGCTTTTTTTAATCTTAGGATCCCGAGAACTTCAAAGACATTATAAAAGTAAGAAATTTAATTTGTTTACACGTCAAAAGCTCACCTACATGGATATTTCTCTGTGTAGTTACAGTCAGTGTGTGATGTCATGTGCAATACAGGCTGCAGTTGGAAACCTCCCGATTCAAGGCGTTTTTCTGAGCACGACTATGAAGAAGCTCATAATTCGTCTGTCTGACAGCTGCGACAGGTCCGTCACATTTCCTCACACTCGCAGTAAAAGCTCCGATTTGGAGAAAATRATCCTTTTCTTCCAAAGTCGGACAAACGTTTGACCTYTCTCAAAAAGCACTAAACTGTGTGCGTGTAACCTTTAGGTCTGCATTAACCGGTCTGAATGTTGACCCTGCAGCTCTCCTGAGCGTGGAGACAGAYGGACAAATCAAAGCATTAATCGTCACCATGAAAGGTAACCATAATCCTTTTAAAGTATCGTATGTTGGACTGGTGTTGAAAGTCTTTCCACGTTAGTTTTAAACAGAACTGTTTGGACTTGAGTCACATCACAGCTTTTCCTTCCAATGGTTTYGACAGGGTCACCGGATTGTCAGCCAGGATATGACTTCTACTCCAGAAACTTTGCTCCCTGGGTTGGGATCCCAGAGGATCCAGTTACTGGTGAGACGATCATCATCATAGCTGCTTCTACGAGAACATGATAATCCTACGAATGCATTTTTCTGTTCTGGTAGGTTCTGCACACACAGTCCTGGGAAGCTACTGGTCAAAAGAACTTGGAAAAAAGAAGATGCTGGGTATGYAATTCATTTGGAAAACAACCTCTTCTATTCTAGAAATTTACATTTAAAAAATGATACGTTGCAAAAATATCAGGTCTTAACATCTTAAAATGAAATAAACYCAACTTCAGTACAAAACTACAGCCAAAATGTTTAAAAAAAAACTGTTTGAGTAATTTACAGCCACTAATTCCTCAATCAAATGCATTGATTAACWGATAATTGCTCAGTGTGCGCAGTTCTAGAAAAACACTTTAACAGGTCTGAAGCATTCGGGGGTTTTAATCACATCTGTCAGAGATTAAAAACATCTGTTGTCCATCAGTCTAGGAAAGGTCAGAAAGCCATTTTGGGGAATTTAACATTCTGCAGAAACAGATGTTTCTACCAACATTCAAGACCTGCCCCAGAAAACAGCTTATCTGTAATTCACAAATAGAAAAACTAATCCTGAGGTACGTCTCACTCTACAGACATATTACCTTTTTTAAATGAAGTTCATGAAAGTAAAAAAACTAAATACAATAAACCCGTCTGGTTAGTTTTAAAGAGCTGAAAGAAGAAAAACAGCATCTGTTGAACAGAGAAAACCAAAGTGAAGGTGTCATCTGTTGAGCATGGATACAGCAGGGTGAKTTGAACTTGTTTAGCAACTAGAGGTTTCTAACTTTTGTTCTTTAAAGCCGCCCATTAGCTCCAAGCCAAACTAAGCCCCGCCCCCACCCTCAGTACTCCATTCCTCCCAACGAGGTGTTCAACCTTTAGCAAAATAAAAAAAAAAAAAATAGGTAAACAGCTACAAACTTTTATATGGAAAAGGAAAACTAAAATTTTACAGAGTTTTAATAATTCAAATGGACTTGTTTTGGTGATTTTTATGTAAAAATACAATTATATTTTCACAACCTCTGAGCAGACAAGGTTATTCCTCCCCCACCCTCCCGGTTGGGAATCACTGAACCTGACCTAGAAACAGACAACCACTAAATTATCTGAAGAATTACAAAACAGATGAGGGGCAAAAATTCTGTTGCAATGGTTTCAAGTCCAGACCTTGACCTGATTTAARCACAGGTGGGAACTTGGAGCTGTGCAAAAACAAGTCACTGACGACTCGAACGACTTGAAATCTTAAAAAAAACTTTGAAGCTCATCTAGAAAGCAATTACTCAAGTTTGCTGAAGTACAAAGTATTATGGTTATTTTTTATTTTAAATAATGAAAATTGTTGTTTACATCCACATTTGTCTAACTTTGTAAAATCAAACTTTTTAAAAACAAATTGTTTTAATATACACAAAAATAATGGCTTTTTGTATGACTGAATTCATTATATAAMCTTTTTTAATAGCTATTAAATATTTTACTTGATAAGAATAAAAAACGTGTTRCTTCCTCTGGTTTGTGCAGCTTACCAGTGCTCCAGCCGAGGCGGGGAACTGGAACTTGAAGTGCGAGACGATGGAAGGATCAACATCGCAGGAGAAGTCGTCACTGTGCTGCAGGGAATAATCAGACTATAAGAAATAAAACAATTCAGAAAGTCCTCATGTATTGAATGAAACCGAAATAAATGAAACAATTTTAAAAAAGGTAAAGATAATCTCCTGCAGAGACTGGTCAATCTAACAGAAACACCACATTTAAATTAAAGTGCAACAAAAGGTACAAGAACATAGCACACTTTATTTTATGGATCAATATTATTTATTCACATTAAACTACAAAACAGTCACAATATCAAAAACAATAATAAAAAAAAGGTTGTGAAGAAACAGACCAAAAAATGGAATCACAGCTTTCTAGTTGGAGAATCAAAACAATCAAACACCAACATTTGGAATGCAGTTATTGTTCTGTTAGAAATTATTACAAAATGTTTTACTTGCTGCACAGTTGATCTGGAAAAGAAGGAAAGTTACACAAACTGGTTTCACTTTAGTTTCTGCTTTTCCAGCTTGTAATCACAGAAATTATATTTAATTAAAGTTTATTTTACAGGGTCAGGTTTAGACCAAAGTGGTAATGCACACATTTCAGTTCAGTTCCTGATGTAACAAATACTCYAGTCTTCTGTTACAAAGCACAGTAGCCAAGTTCTTTAAGTGGAGGAAACATTTGGAAACAAATATTTCTGGCAGAGGAATGAATGGTTTAGACTTTTTCATACAACTCAAACAAACAGTCATTAAAATGATGAGCTTATCTGGTCTAAGTAAGAATAACTTAAAGGTTGTTTAAATTTTACTGATGTTTGMGGTGAGGAAAGTATCAATCACAACTAAAATACCTGCAGTGCATTGAGCCAGCTCTAGTTGATCAGTGTCATTTAAACAGTTAAATTTAATAAAACTTTTCTTTTGTTTTGAAAATCAGTAGCTTGTTTTGCGTCATGAAATGGCAAATTTAAAACTGAAGCACTTTGATAATAAAAAAAACCATTAACAACATGAGGCTGAAGTTTCACACCTGATAAAAACAAAGGAAGCAAAAAGATGAGTTTTGAACGAGACTACAGAAGATGGATAATTATTTTAAGTACCTTTTTAACATGGAATGGCTCAGAGATTATTTGAAATATTTTAGTTTTATGAAACAAAATTAAATTTGCTCTGATGCGTTTTGTTTCGTTTTTGTGCCAATTTAAAATTATTCTAGTCTTTAAAAGGCCTCCTGGCGATTTAGTAATTATTCTAATTTTTTTTAAACATTTTATCTTATTTAGACAATCCATAAAAGAACCTCAGCTTCACTGTGAGACCAACATGTGACCGGTGGAGTGTGACTTCTTTTACAGGGGCATGCTGGGTAAGGCCTTGTGGGCAGCTGGTGGGAGCTGGATTATGTGAAGACAGAGTTCAGGAAAAATACTTTTTCTTTTTTGTTAAAGATATCTGCACTCAGAAACGAATGTTAAGTATGAAACGTTAACTCAAAGGATATCATGTTGTCCTGCTGCAGGTGGTTGAGTAACTTCTCCACAGGTGAGTAGCGTCGCAGCGTTGTGGCCGAGCCCACCATCAGCAGCTTGTGCTTAGCTCTGGTGATGGCCACATTCAGGCGACGCCAATCCTTCAACAACTCCCCCAACTGTGAAAAGACAGGAACTCCAACTAATCAGTTTTAATGTCGTTTACTTCATTTTACCAAAAGTTTTTTTTAAATATTCTGAAAATTTAGACATAAGAGATAAAAGGCAGGAACTGTAAGAATAGAAATAACATTTAAAAGTACAATAATTAATGGAATCATTGCTTAATGTTAGGATCTGATATAAAAAATTTCAAAGAAATGAGATCATCATTTGGAGTTCAGACTAGACTTGCTACCATGAATTTTACTGGACAAGAAATTGTCTCTGAAGTTATTACGATAAGCGATAATATTATTTAGCACAATGATCGATCCCTATTCACGCATATACGAGAGCAGATAAAAAAAAGACGACGGGAACAGAGACACTTACGTTTCCTTCCTCCGCGGTGCTCCTGACAAACGACAGAATAATCAAACTCTTGTCTCGTCCCTGGTACCGGTCCACAGTGTTCACCTCCACACCGGTGAACGCAGGAGGCTGCAGCAGAGCAGAGATGCTCTTTAACTGCTGCCTGTAGGGCGCGATGACGCCAACATCSCTGGGCTTACACCCAGCCTGAAAAGAGGGAACATAAACAAGGATATGAAGCAGAAATAACACAGATGATATTAATCTGTAGGCAAATAAACCTTTATCAGAAGAGAAAGCAGCATGTGTATGAGCGCAGCTTCCGTGCGATTGCTCACGCCTCCCTGCTCCATCGACTCCAGAGCCGGGACCTGCAGGAACCAACGAGCTCTACGTTCAGACGCTGTTTAACTGAGAAAAGCTTTTAAAAACCAACTCTACTTGTATATTCTATACTCTACAAACCAGTGAGCAGTCCAGGAAGCAGACAGGATTGCTAGGCTGCAGTGTGGCCTGTATCCAGGACAAGTCCAGGTCAGGGCAGGACTGAGTGTAAGAATCCAGCTCAGACTGGACGGAGAGCAGGAAGGGCAGCGTGAGCAGAGCTGTGGCCGTCCGCTCTGATCCACACTCTAACCGCCCGTCGTACATCAGAGAGTTACTCAAAGACATTATCTGTCTGGAAATATAAATTAAAAAAATTAATAAATAAAAATTACAGTTTTATTGTTTTCACCATAATCTAGAGCAGCAGTTCCCAACCTTTTTAGACTTGTGTACCCCGAGCCATTTTGTCATACCACTAGTACCCCTCTGTCAAACTTAATGACGATTCTCCAAAACTAAAATGTACAATTGATTATTAAATTTAAAGTGTTTATTTAACCCCCTAGAACATTTAATTCTCAAGCATTTTATTCTTTTCAACTCAAATCAAACAAAGACAAATATGCTGCCTTGAAAGTGAATAAGTAATTAAATAAACCAAGTTGTGGCAGGTGCAGGAAGCAGCAGCGTCCAAAATACATCAGAAACCCACCCAAATGAGCAAATTCTGATGCTGCGTTCACACCAAACGCGATTTCAGCATCAGGAGCATCAGGTTTACATRCAAAGTYTATGGTGGACGCGCTTCAAGCAGCGTCGGGAAATGCTGCGGCGCCTCAAGCGCGATTAGAGCAGCGCAATTTGAACGATTTGAACGATCTGAGCGTTCGACGTGCTTGATGAGCAAATCGCTGAAGTTAGAAAATCTGAACTTTTGCAGCTTGACGCGCTGCGTCAACCAACCAGAGAGACTCCACTGTGTGACGTAGCAACATATTTCCCGACGGGACAGTTTACTGAATGATGTCCACTAACCTGAAACAGACAGAGAGGAGCTCTTTAGCTGAAATCGAGTGCCTGCAGTCGATGTCCTGACAGAGATATCCGCACCAATGCATGGCAGCGACTCATCAGACTGGACTCGGGACAAAAATAGTCCTGAAAGCGAGCTGTGAGCCTCTCCCGCAGCTCCTGGGTGATGAAACTCAGAATGTCTCTGAATTATCTGGTGAATTAATTATGAATTAATTATCTGATGAGCGTGACATGCTCTTGCTCTCCGTAAATAAAGCAAAGCCACTTCCTTGTCCGACATTAAACAGAGCCCGACAGAGGAGGGAGGGGCGGGGAGGCTGTTGCCGTGCAGCGCTTCAAGAGCTGACCTGCGTCTGACCTCAAAGTGCACAAGCGACCAACTTGAGAGTTGGCTGCGATTTTGAAGCTGAAATCGCGTTCGGTGTGAACGCAGCATGAGATTCTGCATTTTATACTGGATTCCATTTTGTGTTAATTACGTGATTCTGTCTGCATTTTCTGCATTACGGAAATCATGGGGCCCTACAAATCTCAGTCCTATTTTTATTTTTTTTTACACACCTGGGAAATTCTTTCATGTACCCCCTGTAATATGCTCGCGTACCCCAAGGGGTACACGTACCCCTGGTTGGGAATCACTGATCTAGAGGCCTCCAAAGTTTTAGCAATAGTTAAGTTGGATGAATTTTAGTGAGAGTTTTTTAAATGTCCTCGTTTACTGGTCTGAATGATAAAGCTCATATTAAAAAAAGTTCCAGCTGCTGAAGTGTCCAGTTTCATTTCAGGAAGTAAATATATTTACCTGTTCATCCGATACTGCACATTAAGTTGAACCACCGCCTCACTGTGGAGCTCCAGGCGTTTAAACAGACTTTCATCCATCCCGAGCGACCTGAAGGAGAAAAACAAACTTATTTCTTTTACCCCTGTTAGAACCTCTACATCATCATTTAAGAACAGAGTTCTGACTTTGCTTCCTGGTTTTGAACGATGGGCGGCAGCTGCTGATGGTCTCCCACCAGAACGAATCTCCTGGCAAAGAAAAGTGGTCCGAGACAGATGGGCTGGCTGATCTGCGACGCCTCGTCTACGATGCAGAAGTCAAAACGTCGGCGTGTGAAGATCGGGTGCTTGATGCCCATACAGGTGGTGGCTACGACCAGCTAAAACATCAGGTGACAAATTCAATATTTCAACTCATTTCAACAAGTTATTGTAATAATATCACTCATGTGAGCTCCTTACTTCTTTATTATAAAGCTGCTCCAGCTCTGACAGAGTGTGAATGCCCTGCTTCCTCATGCTTTCCTCTGTGTACGGCTGGATGTCAGGATGAACCTGAATGAATGTGATAAAGAAGAATAAGCACTTCTAAATGCACTTTTATAAAAATATATAACTATAAAAATAAAATCCAGAGCCTGTGGAGCGCGGCGGACCTTCTGGCCTTGTCCCAGACGCAGAAAGCCGACCCGGAAACGTTTCAGCTTCAGCAGGATGTTGTCAACAGCAGAGTGAGTGTAACTGGTCAGCAACACACTATGCCCACACGCGTGCAGAATCCGGACCTTAAATATAAAAAGTATTTACAGTGGAGACGTAAGCAAAAGGTGTTGGTCTTACAAAAGGCAGATCATTTAAAGCTTTGTTTGAGGGTCACCAGGGTGCAGATGGTGGTGGTTTTGCCGGTGCCAGGCATCCCAACAATCAGAGTGTAGTCTTTAGATAACAGCACCTTCTTCATGGCCTGTTTCTGGGGTCTGTTGAGACCTAAACAAATAGACAGATGAACATTAATACACCACAGCAGACTTAATACAAGTGAAGACTTCATATGAAGAAAAAAAAACTGTGAAAATGGTAACAATTTTTTGTGTCATCGATTAAAAATGAAATAAAACTCAAATATTAGCATCAGAGTAACAATTTCAGGCATGTGTTTAAAATCTTTGATGGGTCCAAAAAATTATAATTTATATCTAAATCCACCTTTATTTGTGACCCATCATATCGAAATGAGGATTAAGTCAAATTTGTTCAAAATGGCCTAACTACATTTTCAGGTTCCTCAGCTTAGCCTGTTAGYCTTTGCGCTAGCGCTGACGCTACATAGCCTTATATGTATTAGCTCAGTGCTARCGCGACAAATTAATAAGCTAAACTGAGGTCCTCCATCCATATTTTCAGTTGCAGTCTGGGTCATTTGTGTTCCCCTCTCTGTCTTGTGGATGGAGGACCTCAGTGACGAGAGGAGAGTGTGTAGCGCTGAGTTAATACATATGATGATAGCATCGGCGCTAAAGCTAACAGGCTAAGCTGAGGTTCTTCTTCCATGAAGCAGCTCTGTTGTCCTCCATCCATATTTTCAGTTACAGGCTGAGTCATTTCTACCTTCTCCTCTCTGTCAACGCTCTCTGGTTTCATTTAAAAGAGTCGATCATCAGATATTGTCCAAGATTAACCTTCAGGGTGGATATAGCTTGCTCACACCGAGGACCTATCCATGTCCCAGAATGCTTTGCGTGTAAATAAAATGGCTCCGTCCGTGTAATACATTTTTAACCTTTTAGTTTAAAAATTATAAAAGCTAAACAGTCTACAGTATTTTTGCAGTTAAAATATGTTTATCAAATAAAGTCTAATGTTACAACTAATCGGGGATCCCTTTAAAGGTCAGTGCAATTGGCTGAGTCTTTGCTGATGCACACTTGCTGCTYTTATAACTGTATGAAACCAGAAACAAAGCCAGTCTCAGAAGTTCAGAATCATCATTAAGCTGCTTATTTAAAACATGAAACCGGCTCGTTTAGGAGAACAATGTAAAACACAAACACAGGTCTCAATTACCTTTGAGGATGTTGGCCACCGTGTCTTTAGCCTCTATGGGCAGAACAGAACTCAGGGTGGTGATAAACTCAGGAAGTCGAAGGTCAACAACCAGCTCCCTGAGACGCTCGCTGCACGTTAGAGAATAAAACACTTTAAAGTCAAATCTTCTGCACAACTAGAACGTGCAAAACCATCGTGCATCTGCACCATCATACCTGTCCTGGCAGTTCTCCATAAGTCTGGAGAGATTACTGAGGTGAGTGCCGAGGCCCACCCCTCCGTCGCCGTCCACTCGGAACAACACGTGGCTGAACTTTGACAGATCTCTTTTAAAACACCAACACAAAGATTCAGCTGAGCTCTTAAAATAAAAAACGAACGAAGCATTTCAAATATTTCTAAACCACGTGAATCTGTTCCGACCTGTCCAGAGTGCAGCTGACTGACGATCTGTTGACCTCACAGAGGTGTCCTGTCGCCAGGCCGGTAAAACGACTTTCCTGGCCGCTGACGGCAACGCGGTCCCCGCTGGTCAGACCACAGCTGGTCAGGCCCTGGGATGGAGCAACATCACAGCGCAGGAAGCGATGGAAGAAGACGCCTTCAGACTGCAGAGTCACCGGGCCGCTGAGCTTCAGATTCCCCACACAGCTGCCGCTCTTCTCACTGAAACCAGAACACGATCAGAACTGAAGCAACGAGGAAGAACAAGCTCCCGGCTCCGTGAGGTACCTCTCTTCAACCGACTGCAGCCAAACTCGCTTCCTGCCGTTTCGGGCTTCCATGGTCGACGCCTCCAGACAGCAGAGCAGCAGCCAGTGAGAAAAGTAGTTGAGGTGTGACAGAGTCAGGTGAGCGGTCTCCTGCTGTAGGAAGGTAYGAACAACCTCCTCAGTGACATCTGCAGAGCTCACGTCCACCACTCTGAGAAAAAAAATATAAGGTCCATGTTGAGACTGAACTGACAGGAAACAAGTGRRGAATTTAGCTCCTTAATGTTTCTGATACTCGTGGTTCCCATGGACTATTACTATTATTATTATTTTACCTCTGGTATAAAGCACAGTTCAGCCTTTGTGGGCAGTACTTGCAGGGTTGCCTGTCTGTCAGAATCTCAGGGAGTTTGGAGAGGCGACTCTGGTCTGCAGATTTCTTCACACAGTAGTTGATGTGATGAACCAAAGTGTTCCTCAGTTTCAGCAACTCTGAACAAATAAATAAATAAATAATTATAGTCCCTTCATCATAGTACAACCATTCAATAAAGATTTTCTTTTTATCTTTAATTGTGCAAAAAGTACAAAACTTTAAGTTTACTTCAAATAAAAGTATATTTTTTCCACCTGCACAGCAGGAGTTGAACTATTGAAACAGTAACAGAGGAACTGTAAATATCTGGATCAGAGAAGATGATTTGTTGAGATTTGACCAAATATTTTTCTTAWTATATTCAAAAACTTCTCAAATTAGTCCAGGTGTTAAAATAGTTTAATGTGAATACTACCAACAGTTACTTAGACCAGTGTTTTTTTCAACCCCGGTCCTCAAAGCACACTGCCCTGCTTGTTTTAGGTGTGTCCCTGCTTCAACACAGCTGATTTCAGTTGATAACTGATTGCAGTTCAACAAAAGCCTGTTAATCATCTGAATCAGGTGTGTCAAAGCAGGGAAACATCATGCAGGCCAGTGTGCCTTGAGGACCAGGGTTGAAAAACACCGACTTAGACAAGTACTAAGTACAAATTTTAATTTAACATTCACAGAAACCATCATCCTCTAGGACCACACGCACCCACATCATGACTATCCACACTTCCTCCCTCTGGAGATAATAAAGTAAGAAATGCAGGACCTCTAGATTTAAGAACTTCTTCTCAAGTGCCATCAGACTCTTAAAAAAAGACATATCATGCAAACACCACATTTTTGGGGTTAAATATATTTTTTTTGTGTACTTTAGAAGTGGTGCGTAGATATTTTATATTCTGCTTGGATCATATTTTTCAACCTGTTCAATTTTCTTCATTTTCTATGATGTTTTATGAACTCCTAAATAAGATCTGGACTTTCTAACTACAATTTGGTCATCTTCATTTTCACTCTGGGTCAGACTCTGGCTCCAACATGTAAGGCTGGATGGACAAGTCTTCTGTTAGTGACATTTTAAATTGTAAATAAATTGTTTCTGTGCTGCTATATAGTCATAAACCCCTCTATGAAACTAGAATGGACTGCTCTGGAAGCTGGAGGAGTTTGAAGTGCTTTGTTTGGTTTTAAAGAGGTAGCCTCAACATGAGTTGATCTGAGATACACCTCAGAAAAAGGGGTGAAAGAGGGGCTTGTGGAGTTACAATAAGGAGGAATTCAGACCAAAGCATTGCAGTTCCACTTTACATAGACTACAACTGAATGATTTAAATGTGGAAAAAGGATTTAAAAGCAGGATATGTCTCCTTTAAACAGAATGTTTGATTTTCTCTTAGTCGTTAATATTTTTTTTGTAAATGTAAGGTTTCTCTCTGTGCTGTCCACAATGAAGGCCAGGCAAAGTAGAAATTTCATTGCTCAAGGAAACATGTTTTCAGCTGTGTACGTGACAAACACTGAATTTTAAATGGAGATTTCAACGCAAACATATTCACGGTTAGCGAAACATCTGAAGCTCCATCTGCTGTAATTTAAGAGTGAGGCTGTTTTTCTCATGTTTAGAAATTTAGACGGATAAATGACTGTTGGTACCTCGGTGGTCCATGTGGCTGGCTGCTACAGGATGCACGTTACCAGTCTTGAGATAAAGCAGCAGGCCGACGTCAGGACTGTATCGTTCCATGCTCATCAGAGTATAAAGAATCACCTTCACACAGAAACACACACATGAGTAAAACTGCTTTTTAAGCTGATTTAAAAAAACAAATGATCAGTGACGACCCACCAACCTGACTGCGATGTTCTATAGAGTTYGACTCTCTTCCAGTTTTTAGCTCCAGAGGAACAGTTTTCTCTACGKGAGGCAAGAGGCTGCGGTTTCGCGGACTCTGGATTCGAACTTTTGCYGTCACGTCAATTTTCCCTTTGAGGCCAAACCTGGGGGACCAGATGTTCTCCTCTATATCCACCAACTCCGTCACCGTGAAAACCATAGTGGAGTCCTGGTTTCTGCTCGGAGCTCTGCTGTTCCTGGGACTGAGGCAGAGACAGACCGTCAACGCTTCAATAAGGAGCTAAAACTCTGAYCATCTTTTAAAAATGAGCATTGATGAAACACTTAAACCTACGTTTTCAGACTGATTGGTTTTGGCGTTGAGGAGCAGAGGTATTCATTAGCCCAGTGTTCAAGTGAGGGCAGATATTCATTCAGTTCTTGCCTCATTTCTTCCTGACTCACACCTAAAGTGTACCTGAAAACACAGATAACAGAGTGGAGAAGAAATATTACAGTAAGTGTACAACTCCTACATGTTCAGATTAACAGCTCGATCAAWATAGAAAGTTTCATGCAATTTCATTTTCATTCTGACTGGTTAAGCTCTAACTTTCAACTCAACATTGCAGTCAAAGTCGCTGCATTTTGCTTGATGTAAACACCTACATGTCTCCAAGGTAACGAGGACTGTGCAGGGCGTCTTCAGTCAGCGTGGAAAGTTTCTGCAAAGAAAAATCTTTAGCTGCAGCTGCTCTCTGGAAGACTTCGTGGACCATGGTGCCGTTGAGCATTTGCTTGGAGCCACCGTCAAAACTCTGCTTTCATGAAAGGAAGAAAAAAAAAAGTTAAAACAACAATAATTTTAGGGAGTTTTGTCCTGGTATATTTCCTACTGGAGAGTGATTAACGTTGAGCTCTTTCACCTTGAACAGATCTCCCAGGACGGCTCGCCTCATGCAGCGGATGGAGCTGGAGATGCTCGTTCCTGAGACGAGGCTGTCGGGCGATAAAACCAGGAAACCCTGCTCCCTGTCAACTAACCAGGTTCCACCTTCAGGGAGACCCTCCAGATGGACCACATCACCTCGACAGACCGGCGTAGTCTCCCTGAAAAACAACCAGAGCAAAAAATAAATACTTTTACATGAATAGAGACAAATTAAAGACTAAACAAGAAAAAGAAAAGAGATGCATACAGAGACTCTGGTTGCAGGAAAATAATGTGACTTTTTAATAATAAAAAAAGCAGAACTACCATCCATCTTTCAGCAGACACGTCTCAGTTAGATGCAGAGACTTGGAGCAGGAGATGATCAGGGTTTTGTACCCGGGTCTCTCCTCTACGTCCACAACCAGATAACGGTTGTTCAGGCCCCCAGAAAGAATCACGTGGTCTGGTACCTTACTGCAGCAACAAAAAAACTACTTGTGTCACATAAAGTTTTCTCGATTAAAACAACAACACTTGATGAGCCAGAGGAGTTTCTTACAGAGGTTTTATAGGTTTCTCCTCGAGGTCTTCTTTATCGTCCATTTGCTCTGTAAACCAGCTCTCGTCAAAMCCGTCTTCTATGGGACACGCAGGCGTCACTCCTGTATTATCATGATTTTGAKATGAAAAAGTTAAAATGATACACAAAAGGTGATATACTGTAGTGAATGGGTGTTAAACTCATGTTCACTGGGGGCCACATGATGCCCTCAAAGGGCCAGTTGTAATTAATTGACGTTTTGYRTTTAACTTTGACTAAACACGAAACGTCASGTTCCTCGGCTCGAACAATAACTGAGCTCTACCTGGTATTTCCTGCATAGAAACAGTGTTTTAACGCATCCTCTTATAAACACTGAAAGTACTACATGTACGACTGACTAAATGTGAAATAAATACTACAGAAATACTATTAAAAGTAAAAGTATGAGACTTTGTTGAGTTGTGGTGAGTGGCAGCCATCTTGAATTCTGAACTCTCCCACTTTCTGACAGGGAATTCCCACTGCAGGGGCRTTCCAGTTTAAATTTACAACYTGTAAGTGGAAAATTCCCACTTTCCAGAACAACTGGTCCACAGCAAAAGTARCCATAAAAAATGAAGCTAAATGGAAATGCTGSTGGCTACYTTTGAACCCAGTGCACCTAGAGGTGGGATGCCATCATTTTGCAGGTAAAATAATTGACATGCATTTTGGGAGATGTAGTTTATGGTCAGTGCTGTTTTTAAAGCAGCACACTTTAAGAATAATACATTGTTGAAGCTCTTACGGGCCACATAAAATGCCGTTGTGAGCTACATTTGGCCCACGGGCCTTGAGTTTGACAYCTGCTGTAGTGATTTGACTGAATGTTTTCAACCTTTGCTTGGCTCTCATGTCTGTTGTCATTAAATTTATGCACAACWGTCAAATCATAAAGTCTTCTCAGTGACAGGGCATACCTGTAGTGTGCTCCTGATCTGAAGAGGTCTTGTTGCCCCCGTCTCCATCTGTTTCTAGGGTTTTTGTGGTTTCTTTTCCCTTCAGGACATGCTCTCCTCCGGATCCATGCTTGGCTGCACAAGTGGTGACAGTAGAAATGTTCTTATCCGGGCAGCTCTGCAGGTCTTTGCTGGTTTGTGGCTCAGCTGCTTTCAGCTCTGTTATCACAGTAAAACCACATTCTGCATCTTCTTCTCGAAGTTCTCTCTGTTTATCCGTCGAGTGGGCGATAGCCATGTTTCTGCTGATGGGCAGGTCCTCTGTTTTACCTCGACTCTGACCCACCAAACTCTCAGACGGGCCATCCAGCTGGCCGCTGCAGAGCTGAGGGGTCTTCACAGGGTCAGTAAGAGGCTTCACCACCTTCAGGCTGCCAACTGTGGAGCTGTTCACACGTTTAGGTGAACTTTTCACTCTTTTTGCACTGTGAGATTCCTCAGGAGGACTGAAGAGTCTCTTCAAAGGTCCAGACGATTGGTGCTCTTTCTTGGTTCTTTCTCCATTCTTTGTCAGTACATGCCTTAGTTTTGGACCTTTAGAGCTGGGACTGCGGCAGACGGGGGACAGCTGGCCGAACTTCAATCGACACGCCACCTCCTCTTCGGGGGAGGAGAGCCTGATCTGACTGTTGGGGGTTTCAGGCACCGAGAGGAGGAGGTCCGGAGACGAGGGAAGGAGGTTCTCAAGATCACCGAGGACGCTCCTCTTTGATGGGGAGTTTAGTTTCTCACCACCTTTGATCCAAACCTCAGACTTGGTGAGAACGTCGCTTGCGATGGTCACTTTTGTTGAAGATATTGAAGCCTACAAGAAACACAGGATGATGAAAACATTTTTTTGTTGAAAATGTATATATTTGTATTTTCTACGCCACTGTAACAATATAAAAATGTTTACATTAAAGAAAACAAAACAGGTATTTGTATGAATGAGAATATATATTTTTGTGTTTTGAGTTTATTTAATTTAAACCAGTGACTTAGTCAAAAGACCTTGAGCTTTCTGCTTTATAGATAGAATATGTGCATTGCCAGCTATGTCACAAAACTTTCACTTAACAAAAATAATCAATAATCCAGCTAAAAGATACAAGGGAAGGGGAAAAATATTTAAATTAATAATTAGAAGGCTCACCTTTTGGTTTCGGGAGACAAAGAACGAAGAAATGCTCTGCTGGCCTCCAGATTTCCCTGCAGGTGCCTGACAATAAAATACAAGTATATTAATTCAAATATTAAATTAAATTCATTAAAACTTTGTTAAATAGTAAAACGTGTCAAAAACTTATGAGCTACATAAACCAACAACCTAAYGACATATCATATTTTTGCCCTGTATTATGGTGTTTTTGATATAAAAGAAAAAAAAAAGAAAGAAACACCAGCTAAAAAAGTGTGGTGATATACTGCATCAGTGGTTCCCAACCCTGGTCCTCAAGTACCCCATCCAGCATGTTTTACTTGTTTCCCTGCTCTTCAGCAGGTCTTCAGAAAATTGTTAATCACTCATCCATTCAAACCAGGGGTGTCAAATCAGGGAAACATCTAAAAATCACTGCTTTCAATGTTGACCAACACCTCAAGAGCTTCTCTGAGCTTGATGAGACATTTTCAAAATTTAATATTGACTTGGTTTTATGTTTTTTAGTATTGCCTCTGGAAGCCATTGATTCTTTGCCATTTATTTGTAATTAATAAATCAAAAAAACATGTATTATAGCAGTGATTCTCAACCCTGGTCCTCAAGGACTGCTTCCCTGCATGTTTAGATRTTTCCCTGATTTGACACCTGGTTTTGGATGAATGAGTGATTAACAATCTTCTGAAGACCTGCTGAAGAGCAGGGAAACAAGTAAAACATGCTGGATAGGAGTAGTTGAGGACCAGGGTTGGGAACCACTGTACTACATAAACATGAAAAACAAAGATGCATTTTGAGACTCTGGTYKYATGAAAAATGATTGTCTCTGTTTTTGGCTGCAATKACATAAGAATGCAACATAAACCATCCTTATAAACAATGTACATATCAATAATTAAGAAACGCTGTGTGTTGAGAACAGTTTCTGGGGTCCATAGAAACAATATAGAAAAACATTACCCTCAAAAGCTGAAGCAAATACAGAAAGATGGTGCAGACACAGGATATTTAATAAATAATAATAAATAAACTCACTTTGTTCGTCTTCATTTTGGTTCTGTTCATTGTGGATCTGGGTAAACTGCAGGCTGATGAAGGAAATTTTGTTTTTAAAGAGCTGATTTTTGGCAGACAGGTCGTGTTGTTAAGTCTTCTCGGTGACCGTGGAACTCAGCGTTGTTCCGCATCTCTGCTCTTCGTAAACAACAACAAAAACAACAACAAACGTTACAACAGCGAGTAAAACAAAAACAAAAACCACCGGACTAATTCAACTCTAATATCCATCTCCTCAATATTATCGCAGGTGAATCCCTCCGTGTTTAATTAAAAGTCAACGGCGCCAAATTTTCTTGCTTCGCGGAACGGAAGTTGCGTAGCACAAGTTCCGGTAATGATGGTCCGCTCCTTTTCGTTTTCGCCCGGCATGAACCGGTTGTGTAGGCAAAAAAAAAATTACCCGCCCAGCTAAAAACAATTTTCTCAAAAAGCTGCAAGAAAACAGTTTTGACTTAGCAAGTGTGTTGGAACATTTGTTAACTTGCTAAATGTTTAATCAGTTTAACAATGATCTAGTCATTATTTAGCGAATTCTGCCTCCCAACAGCATCACTCAACTTGTATTATTTGAAAAAAAAAAAAACAAAAAACTTATTTTCACACACACACACACACACACACACACACACACACATATACATATATATATATAATAGCTACAATAAACTTGTATTGGTTGTACTAAGTAGTTCCATGTTTTTTTTTATGATTAATCAGCCAGAACCTTGATGTGAACCTTCTTAAAAACTGTGTGAGTGGATTCTCTGTATGCATAAATGTTTTGATGGTTATAATGTGTTCTTCAATGTTTAGGGCCATGGTTGGTTGATCATTCAGGGAAAACAAAATGTTTTTGAACCAAGCCATGTGTCAGACTCTGATCCACCTGCTTGCCTGCTTCAACACCACTGATTCCAGTGAATGAGTCATTTATCAGGCCTTTGCAGAACCCAGTGAAATGTTGAAAAAGCTTTGGAACATCTAAACATCTGACACACGCAGGACCCCTGGAATGGCACAGACCTTACCCCGCATTATTTAAACAATTTAAATTACATCCCCAGTTTGGTTTTACAGATCTTGACCAAAAGAGGGCAGCAAACATCCAGTTACCACCAACAGAAGTCAGCATCTGTGGTAAACTGATTTATTCATACAACAGTTAGTCTTTGACTCCGTGTATCCATAAATTCATTCTTTTTATCTAAAATGAACATTGTGGATATTTAAAAAGAATTATTTCCAGGAGAAACCTGCCTTTCAGATATTTACAATCYCATTATTACTACTTGTCTTCTAAAAGGTAACTGGAGATAGTGGTGTGGTTTATTTGTGCTATAATTACACTCCCTATCACTGCATCTAAACGAGTTAAAGTTGCTGCAATCACAGCTGCAGCAGTAAAGATAAGGTTTGATTTCTGACAATTATTCATGGTTGATTTTWTTTTATTCACCAATGTGCAGTGATACGTGATGCCATTACTCCTCTGTTGTTGTTGTGTGTCAGGCGATTGCAGAGGCCCAGAAACACACGTGTGTCTGTTTAGACATAAGAATTAAAGTCTACTATGTCTCTGGGGGTCTGACAATAACACACCGGTGGGGGGCCCAACACACAGCAGGACAAAGAGCAGGACAACCACAAYGTAAACTTTATTTCAAGCATCAGCCACACCAAATCAGCAAAGCAACATTTTGATGAAACAGCAGTGATGAACTCGTGTCTCATCTTTCAGCTTTAAAACAAACATTTCCTCCATCAGGTCATGTAATGTGTTTGTTTTATTCTTTTAGTGACAAAAACAAGAACTCTCTTGTTCTCAGCTTACAGGTGCTAAAATCTCCCCATAATCTGACATTAAATATTAATTCATTGTTTTTATGTTTGATATTACTGTCTTCTTTAAGCTGTTTTCCCATTTGTTTTAGTCAATTCCTTTTTGTTCAGTTCTCAGAGCAGCATTTTAGAAGATTTTTTCTGAAGCAAACTTTCAAGTTCAATTTAAATAATACGTCTACTTTATAAAATACACCAATCAGCAATATTAAAACACATTTCTGCAACATAGTGTACAAGTGCAGAAATTCAAACAAAATAACAATTTTTCATAAAAAAGGTAATTGAAATAGAGATGGTAAAACAGCAGTTGACGTCACAATGGTTATTTTTTATTATGTTTTTAAGCAGCCTTACAAATCACATCACTAAAGGTTGAAAACAGAACTGTCAGTAAAAAAAAGACATGTTATTGTTGCTTCATGACATTAATCTAAAATTCCCATTACTGACATAAACTTTACTTTCTGTGTTTAAGCACGAAAAGATTACTTAAGGTAGGTTCAATCCTGATAATTATCCAGCAAATCCTAATTTSTTGTACTTTAGATTGCGGAAATTGGTCTATTAGTTCCACAAAATGCTTAGATTCTCCTGATTTATTCCACTTCTCAGGCCTAATCTCAGGTCTAATCTCTGTGATGTTTCTCAAGATGTCAGTTTTGTTAAAACTCTGTGGGTTTGAGCCTTAGCACTTGAAAAGGTTTGAGTTTTATGTGACTTTAAATCGTTTGATGATGAATTGACTGCAGAGCTTCCAGGGCGGTGCTGCTTGAACTCTTTCATCTTGTCAGAATGAGGAAGCTGCTGCWGCTCACAGGAATCACAGCTTCTCTCCCACATTATCAACATTATATTTTCTCCCTTTAAGAATATGAAATGTCACAGTCCTCAGTCTGTTCCCGTGCTCATAACACATCTTGACCCCGCCACCCTGTTGACTCTTTCATTCGTCCATTCCTCTGCAGTGTTTTCATTCTCTCAGCAGCRAGCTTCACATCGGTTTCTCATGAAAGGTCACGGCCAAATGAGATAATTATAAAGGGACAAAAGAGACAGATGCAAAGACAGGAGGGTAATTGGTCCTTTGTAGACTCATTATCGGCACACGTTCAACTAAGCACCTGTGTGACCTTTTGATCTCTCTACAGAATAATGGCTGAGCTTTTGAAACCAGCCCAGGTGTGTGTGTGTGTGTGTGTGTGTGTCAAACAAAACGCTCAATAGTTCAAAGTCTGCACTTTCAACTTGTAGGAGTCCACAGGGCAACTTTTCAATTTTAGCTTCAATGAAAAAGTCAAAGTTGTTCTTTTTTTTCTTTCTGAAAACGAGTTTCTCCTTTCATGTCTAAAAAGGTAAATTTATGATGCAACAAAGCAAAAAGATGCCATCAGATTATTTTTGCTTTAAATCATGAAAACATCACAACAATTTGTTACAGGCACATTAATTTTAGTTTGAGCTAAAAGAGAGGAAATAAATTCTTGGCTTTAATCTACGAACTTCAGGTGAGACTGTTTTAAAATGAGTTGCTTTGCAAGTATAAATTCCAACAAGTCAGTTTTCACACACAAATATTGATTAAATAGCTGATTTTAAGCATTCTTCAAACTAAAAACTGACAAGAAAAATGAAATGCGGTGTTTAAAAAGAAATTCTTTTTGTCCCCCCCAGTTCATTATCAAGACCTTGAGCAACAAAAAAGTAGCAGAAAACAAAATAATTTACAATTCTAATGTTAATTCCTCATAATTGTCACAGAAAACAGATCAGCTCTGTAAGAAAACAAGGCGACCTTGTAGCAGCTCGATGATGATCACCTCTGGCTTGTTGTTAAGAATTAAACATGACATTTCACCACACAGGCTGTAATAATACAATGTTTATTAAAGGAGTTAAAGGAACATTTTGTCTTCAGAGGTGAGATTATTACTTCTTTAATCTATCTTAAGCACTCATACTAAAAGAGATCATTTTTAAAATCGAATTTTTCAGAAATAAGACAAAATTTCCAAGTTTCTTCTGCATAAATCAATTAATATTGTATTTCTAATGTGAAAAACTCAACAATATATTTAATTTAAGTCTAGTTTGTTTCTTATGCTTTGGGTTGGTGAGACCAAAGAGTAAGTTTTATTAATATCTAACAGGTGGAAAACAAGTTTGCAATCTGAACGTGAAGTTTTCAAACTAAACACTTTCATGAACGATGAGTACAACAAATAGATATTACTCATCGGGTGTTTTATGTGATGTTGATGTGGCAGAYGATGAGCTTCTCCTGAATCAGTTCAAAATCTGCTCCTCGGTTCCCGTTTCTCCATCTGTGCCGACATTAGGCTCATCATCCGTCTGCAGCCCACTGAGCTGACGGTGTCAGAGCTTCACTGATCCAACGAAACATCCAACGAAACACCGTCTGAACAGCAAATAACACGAAACACAACATCGCAGCCTCTGTATGAGGTCATCAGTGTTCAACTGAATGTTTCTGTACATAATCCTGTAGACTTCCTCAAATAACTGTGAATTAGAYTTAATTTAAAATACAAAAAAATAATAATAATAACCCCTCATCCATTCATCTGTCCTGTTTGTTGCTCTTTTATTGCTCCTGGGTCAAATTTGGGTTGAGCTTGTTCACCTGTCTCATCTAAAAACAACCGTATTACATTTACAATGAGTCCTTTTAACCCCACTTAGCAACTCTGTCACACAATAAATCACACAGTAATGAAAGTGCATTCACAACTGACTCACAAAGTCACCGTTGGACCAAAACCCACAGCTCTTTGTTCGCCATGCGCAGTTTTATATTACAGTGTGATGAAAACAAGCAAGAAAACATCAACAACCAGAAGAGTGATCAGATGTGACAGGCCACAGATGAGCTTCTATCTGATGAAAACTCACAACCAACTCACAAACAACATCAAATGATGAATAGAACCGACGTCCCATACGTCAACCAAATCTCATGAAAGCTTGGAGTTTATTGTGACATTTGAGAGGAAGTCTCTGCAAAGTCTGCTGCTGGTTTTGGATCTTTTACTTGAACATTGATTAAATGTTCAAACACTTGACTAAATGAGATCAAATTTCTGAATGAGTTGTTGTTGTGTTGACATACTTTGCTTTAGGACACATGCACACATTCAACTAATTTTCATGAGTCAACCTGCCGAAACAGAATAAGGATTTAAAAACTGAGATGTAAAAATTTAAATTAAAGTTATTGCATTATTTAAATCAGTTCTTTTCCCGTTATGTGTGACAAAAGTATGTGCAGGAATGTGTTTTTGCTGGGGAACCATAAATAAGTGTAAAATTAACCTTCATGTTATTTAGCAAAAAGAAAACTGAATGAACCTAAAAGGCAGTAAACTTATAATTCTTATTTTATTTAAATTAAACTACTTG